AACTAACCTTCAGGAAGGAGAGTCTACCCACAACATTCCTATGTTATTCAGCTAGGAGTGTGATTTCAGGCACAGCTTTGTTTATTTAGCCATTCTGTGAGCACGATTTTAGGCACAGCTTCCTTCATTTAGCTACTCTGTGATACTGTTTCCATCTGATTAAAAATCCACATTCACTGTGTTTAAAGATACAATTTCTATATTATTTCCTATACCTAAAGAAAATTTGGGGGGTCACTTGGAATAATCTGATAACTTTATTTAGATTCCATGCCTATTTTCCCAAACAGTGGTTACATTTAAAAAATAATAAAATCCTTCCATGTAAAACTGCAAAGGCCTCGAGGGAGGCTGTCATTTTTTCTGGTATTTAGGATCCTATCCTCACCTGCATCTACCCACACCTAAATAATAAAAGTCTCTCCCTCTCTCCACGACAAGCAAACACTCCAGTGAGGATCTGTTCTTCCCTCTCTCCCCCATCCTTCTCTTTCTCTTATTTAGGAATTGCTAAAGTTAAGAGAATAGTTGGTTGTAGATTCTTCTTAATCTTAGCTTGAAAAACAATCCTTTCTATTGCATAAAATTCTTTTTTTTTAAGAGAGAGAGAAAAGAGAGAATTTTTTAATATTTATTTTTTAGTTTTGGGTGGTCACAACATCTTTATTTTATTTTTATTTGGTGCTGAGGATCGAACCCAGCGCCTCGCACATGCCAGGCAAGCGCGCTACCCACTTGAGCCACATCCCCAGCCCCTGCATAGAATTCTTATAACCTGTCCTCTGGTAGTCTTAATTTCCAAACATAACTGGAAACATATATCTGATATAGGTAAATTTGGCTAAGTGCATTTTAGATTCTTACTCTTAGACTGCCCATGCATCTGTCCTGGTACTTAGCAATGCAAGAAATGACCTAAAGTTAATGATCTATTAGAAAGGCAAATATATAATAAAGCATCTTCTATAATTTTCTATGCATGTGAAAAAGCATTTTAATGAACTATATGAATCTGAATATTTAAACTCTTAATAACCTTTACAAATAGTTGTTTGAATTTAAAGCAACAATCCATATGCAACCCAAAACCTTAGAAGCTTGTTCCTAATAGCTGCTTCCTGCCTATAAAGCATAAAATAAAGTTCTATCCAATCATTTCAAATCCATACATGTTAGAAAAGCTTTAATGCGATTATCAGAAGAAACATGAAAGAAATATATGAAAGGGTGACTTTGTGATAATAAGAAATAGTTGGTCATAAGACTTTTTTGAGTAGATTATGCAAGAACTAACATCTTCTGTTTGTATTCCTAAAAATGATCCACTAAGCAGATTCCTATCTGCATGGTGAGAAGAATCATCTAAAATGAGACAATCAGTATGTCTGAACACAGGTAAATTATAGCATCCTCTGACATTTTAAAGTGATTTCAGATAAAATATAGTGCTTTATTTACTACATTAGAATTTATGGAGCTAACCATAAATAGGAGTAGTATATTCTTCTCAACTCTCTGATAATTCTCAATCAGAGCAAGGATCCCCTGATATCCCTGACTTACAGACCTCTATCTCCTGCTATACAATTTTTTGGGACAATATCTGCTCTGACAATTTACACTAAAAATGTGCTCCTTTTTACTTCAACCAATGTTAAAGATATTGTAATAAAATATAAATCTGCTTTCTTTGTCACAGACCAGTTCTTTAAGTGTGGAGTCTATACCATCTTGTATTAACTCCTTTGACTTTAGACTGTAACTCAATTTTTTCAACCTGTTTGTCAAATGAAAATGGCTCCAGGAGCTTTTAACATCTTAACAACTCTTTAAAAACTCCAGTTAGTATTTTCAATAGTGGGACTCAGAACTGGACACCAAGAATCCACATGGGGGGCTGACCAAGAGACAAGCAGTTAGAAATTATTCAGTTGATCTGGAATTCAACATACATGTTAGTCAAAGACTGTATTCACTTAATTTTAGTAGCCTAGACATAACATTGTTGTTTTGTCAATTTATCTCCTAATAAAATACTTAGCTGGGCAGGAAGCCGAGGCAGGAAGACTGCAAATTCAAAGCCAGCCTCAGCAATTTAGCAAGACCCTGTGTCAAAGAAACAAACAAACAAAAAAAGGTGGTGGGGTGGGGTACTGGGGATGTGACTCAGTGGTTAAGCACCCCTGGGTTCACTCCCTGCTACCAAAATAAATAAAATAAAATACTTAAATCATTTTCACTTGTCAAAGGACAGTGTTTTTAAAAATTTAACCAATTATTTCTCTAAGAATGCTTTCTGGATGGCATATAGGATTTTCGATCTCTTTTTTTCTGATTATAGGAGACACCTATTATTTTGTATTTCCTAATCTTCACATACTATAGTTTCAGCATTTCTATTATTTGAAGAAATCAGACCTCACTTCCTTCCCTCCTTCTATGATTTGAATGTTTTCGCTCCCTCCACAATGTGTTAGAAACTTAGTCACCAACACAATAGTGTTTGGAGGTGGGGCTTAATGGGAGATGCTTAGGTAGGTCTTGAGAGCTCTGCCTTCAAGGATGAATTAATGTCCCTATAAAAAAAGGCCTACAGGAGTGAGTTCTCTCTCTTCTGCTCTTCTCTCTATGAAGATAAGACATTTCTCCTCTCTGGAGGATGCAGCAAGAAACAGCCATCTTGGAACCAAAGAACAAACCCACTGGCAACTTGATCTTGGACTTCTCAAACTTCAGAACTATAAGGCAAACTTTTTGTTCTTTAAAAATTACTTAGTATGTAGTTTTCTGTTAAAGTAACACAAATACTAATACTAAAACACCTATCAATCTTACTTCTGATCAGGGTACCCAATAAATTTATTAAATCAGGAGACAGGTATTTGATCCATCCAACATCCTTCTCCCTTTAAAATTCCAGCTACATAATAACATGACATTCTTTTCTAGTGATAAAACCATGAAATATCAGATGCAAAAACTCCCAGAAGTTGTGTCACATGTGAACAAAATTAGACTGGAAAAGTAAAATCAAAGTGTAAAGTAAAATAAGGACCATTCTAGTCATTTTCAAGACCCTGGTTCCAATTGATTCTGAAGATGAGCTATACCCCTTGGTTCTCCATGGACACATGGGCTAATAAATTCATACAAGAACAACAATTTAAAAAATTTCTTTCCAATAAAACAAATCCTTATAAACAGACATATATATTTTGCCAAGAATTTTACTTATTTCTTCCTCCGTACTTTATAATACATAAGTTATTATTATTGTAGTAAATTACCATAAACCTGGTGGCTTAAGTAACATAAATGTATTGTCTTCTTACAGTTCTGTAGGTCAGAAGTCTGACATAGGTCCCATTGGCTCAAACCAAGGTGTCATCAACTGTATTCATTCCTCTCTGGAGATTTTTTGAGAAGAATCCATTTGCCTGTCTTTTCTAGCTGTTGAAGGGCATCTGCATAACCTGGTTCACAGCTCCCTTCCTCCCTCTTCAGAGACAGCAAAACAGTATCTGTGAACATCCTTCTGGAGTCACGTATTCCTCTAATTCTGACTTCAACTGGGAAAAGTTCTGCTAAGGATTATAGTCATTAAGTTGGACCTGACTGGATAATTGAGGATAATTTCCTCATCTTAAGGTCCTAAGTTTTAAGCACATGTGCAATGTCCCTTTTGCCATACAATGCAACATATTCACAGGGACTGGACATTTAAGTATATACATCATTGAGTGGGTGGGTCATTATTCTGCCCCTCAACAAAAATGAGGAAAGCATTCCATCTTTTTGTATATCTTTCCATTCAGTAGTAAATATGTTAGTAGAAGAAGCCTAAGATATACCCTCCACATTAGTAACAACCTACTAATTAAAATTATCTGTGTTTTTGTTTTATTTATTTTTTTTAATGACTGAAAAGTATTTTGTAGAAAAGAAAATTTCTGTTGGTTTTATTTTTATTTATTTTATTTTATTTTCTGAAAATAAGGTTGATGATCCTTACTGAATTTCCACAGCATACAATCAAAATGCAATCTTTGAGAAGTAGAATTAAAAGTATTCTCATATCCATCTATGAGCCTGGAAGCTCAAGGCTACTATCCTTCCTGAGTATAGAGAATAAACAAGGCAACTCTCTTTGTTTTACTAATTGCTTTGTTTCCCTAAGCTGCTAGCACAACATCTGCCAGAGTGAAATGCACTCCTTCCATACACCATAGAACCGCAGCCCTATAAACAACCTGCACATCCTGGTGTAAGGGCAAGTGCATTCCAGGCAGCCAGCAGGCAGTTTTCAACAGGCAAAGACCTCAAGTGGAAATGAAGCTAAACCACCACCCAAACTCTTCAGAGTGGTTATAGACTTGTTAATTCTGTAATGATCTTGTACTGTTGTAATTTTATTGATTTTGCATTTCAATAGAACTGTTAAAGATGACAATTCTAAGATAGGCAAAATGTGGGCAGATGCTCACATTCTCACACACAGTTCTGCCAAGATATTTTTATATCTTTCTGCACATAAAGCAAAATGAAGACATGTGTTATAGATGCATGTTACCAATAACCACCCAGAAGAAGTGAGTTTATTGTATGCTCATTTCCTGGATGAAGTATTCAAAAAATTCTACCTAGGAAAAATGAACAGCACTTAAAAAGAAAAATGCTTCTGAGGCAACTTATTAGGCATTCTTAATTGCCAAAACCCATTGAAACGGCAATTTGGGCCATCATATCCAAATGTTATCCCTGGTAGTTCTAATCAGTACAGAATCATGCCACATCTACTGGTTAAGTATGAAAATACAAAATACTGTAACAGTTTACCCTCTGTTAATGTTCATCCATCCACGGTGCATCAGAAAGTCTCATTTCAAATATTGCATGAAAGAAAGAAAAGCAGACAAAAAGCAAACTCAAAACCGACTTGAAACAAATTGCTTGCCTCAAGAAAAACACTCCAGAAAAAGTCTTCAAAATCACTGTCTTACCTTGGGAGACTTAGGCAGATCCACCGTCCTTTCTTCTGCTAAATTGAGCAGGGTAAACTTCATCTCCTCCACTGAAGGATGTTTGGGAGGGCGGGGTGGGGGGTGCACGAGAGAACTTTCATATCTCCTCATCATATAATATTGTTCTTCAGTAATCTCTTCCACCAGAGCCCTGACTAAAAGTGGTCCTGTGTCCCTAGACAAATTCCTAACTAACTGAACAGTTATATTCAAGCGACCAACAGGAATTTCCCAACATTCCTTGGGGTTGGCAAAGTCACTGATGAGTAGATAAGAGTCTGTGATACCTTCCTCTAGCTGTAGTCCCGGGGTAGCTGCCAAAATGTCCTCTTCGGTGGAAAGATCTCTCACAGACACCTTCACATTGAAGGGCAAACGGAACTGTTTACAGAGCTCAGAAATCTGGTACTGTTTCTTGTCATGAATCACCTCTACGAAACCTCCTTCCATGTATAGAGGGAGTAGGGCTGCCTCATAGGACTTTTTGAGGATCTTTTCACAGGCCAGAACGTTCACCACTTTTTTTATTCCCTCACAGAGAACTTCAGTTGTCTCTGAATGATGCACTAGAAACTGGTCCCCAACGAATACAGAGGACAGCTCCTCATGAGGAGGATGAAAGGCTTTGGTGGCCACCACGTGCAGAGGCTCCTTTTCACTCTTAGCTATCTCTAGGTCATAGGCAGTCGGGAACTCCCGAGGTCGCCGCTTGAATTTGCCTTTGTAGCTAGTGGGGATCAAAAAGTGTCTCTTAGGAAAATTGCTTCTGATTTCCGAAGCTAAGATCCTTGAAGCCTGGTACTTTTTGTGGATCACGATGGTTTTTCCAGGCTTTAAAACACTTCTGGACAGCTGATTTCCTTGAGGTGCTTCTATGACTTCAGCCACTATAGGAAACTCTTTGCTGGTCATTTCAAACAGATCTTCTGTAGATAACAGCTGAAGAAACCAGTTTGTATCATAAGAGTCAGTAATATCTTTGACTTCAACATCTAAACTGGGGAGAAGTCGGACTATATCTTTTCGAACTGAAAAGAAAAAATAATTTGTACATAAAAATGTTTATCAGAAGTCACTCTCCTAGCGTCATAGATCAAATTCATTTAGAAGAAATAAGAATTAAAAGGATTATAATATAACTTATGTGTGGACTTATTTTTTTAAAACTTTTAACATGAAAGAAATTGAATATAAAACTAACACCTGAAAACCTAGGTTCAGCTTAAGAAACAAACATTAATCAATTTCTTGGCACCCTATAACCTCATCAGAATCACGTCTTCCTCAATGCTACCTGTGGGTAACCATTTTCCTGATTCTAGTGTTAATCACTGCTGTGTTTATACTTAAAGTTTTATGACACATAACCCAACGATATAGATGTGTGTGAATATGCATATAATGTATATGGGTGAATATAATGTATTTGATTTAAGGCATGTTCTTGAGGTTCAAACTTTATATGTAAAAATATTAAAGAAGAAAGTTTTAGTACTTCCAGTAAACTCCTTCACATATAAGGCCCAAGACATACATTCTTTAAATAAAATTCTATCCTTGGGACTAAGATAACATTGAAAAATCATGAATTATAAGGTACTTAAGATTAATATATGGAAATGGATATCAAGATGCAATCTTTTTCCAATTCCAGAGTTAATTTCTTTTTCCACCAGTGCTATATTATACCTGGATAGAAAAAGGGTGGTACAGATGGGTCATAGTCAGGGGACCACTTAGGAGCCCTAGGTTTACTGGTAGGTGCTTACTTATCAATGTGTCACTAGGAAAAATGAGTTTCTGTGTTCTTTCCAAGAAGTCTTTTTTTGAGACTACAGAGATGCTTAAAATAGCATCAAAAAATTATTTATCTGTTCTTCATGTACTACCCACATAGTATCACTGTAACAGACTTGAATTAAAAATAAAGTTATGTGTTAGTATTAGCAAGATTTTGTAATAGGTTGTTTTCTTGACAATTTTCTAACACAAGTTTCATAGCATTTTAATCAACCAATACTGTCTTTCAATATTCTTTCTTCCTTAAATGTTGTAGAAAATGAACAACTTGGAAAACTTAAAAGAAACTATTTTCTCTTATAAACATTACTTGTTATTACCTTTTATAATATTAACTGTTTATAAGTATCTGAAAACACTCTGTCATTTGTGTTATATGGTCTGATTAATAGTTTGTGAAGACAATGTAAAAAGGTATTGTTTTATTTTTTTGAGAAGAAAAAATAAAAATTTATGGTTGTCTATAGACTGAAGTGCTATAAAAATGGTAAATATTCTTTTATTTTTAGAAAGGAAGGGGAAGGCTGGGAAGCATTTCTTCCCTTAATCAGTTCATTGTATAAAATTTTGTATCCTTTGACTTTTGGGATTGTCATCACAGGTTCCCCTGAACACTACAGCAATTTTAGTAACTAAAATTTTGTTATTTGGATCAAAATGAACTAGGTGTAAGAATTTTAAAGCTGATGGGCATCATAGGCTCAAGATTCCTCAAGTGCAGGGAACATCTAGAGAATAGCAGAATAAATGCCATCCAGGACTTTCCAGGATTTCTCAATTAGTTTGTCAGATCATGCAGGCCCTGATGCAAGCTAGATCCCAAAGTAGCTATGCTCAGTGGGAGCTGTGTGCCTTGAGTTCCCTTATTACCTTTGCATGATTTTACTGATGCCAGAAAATGCCCCCAGGACAAAGTATCTGAACTTGGTTTCTGTATCCAATAACTGACCTATCTGCAAAACTTCTGTTCCTACACAGAATAAGTAATGGTACATATTTTATGTCACATCACCTATTAATAGCATTTGACAAAGTAGATTTTACTCCCTCTTTTTGACATATTTCCCTGTTATCGTACTTGTGATTTTTCTCAGGTTTTTTTTTTTCTAGTTTCTTCTCTTTCCATACCACCCACCCACCACTCACACACACGCCATTTAGTATGTCTTTATTCTTTTCCTTTCTCTTCCTACACTTACACCTACAGTAATTTTATAGAATCTCATCTTTTTAAATATCATCTATATTCTTTTGACTCCGCAAAGTATAGCTCTAATCAAATCATTCTCTTGAATCCCAAGATCTTCTATTTAAGATCTTCACTTGGACATGCAGTAGATGTCTCAAAATTAGTGCACCCTGACTGAAATCTGATCTCCCCCGCCAACGCACACACACAAAAAAATTGACTATCTGGTACTTTCTCTATATTAGTTATTGGGAATTCTTTTCTCCTTCTTCAGTTCATAAATCTTAGGGATATCTTTAAATTTCCTCTTTTTCTAACATCTGTAGCCCCTTACATCTGCTCTACCCTGGTCTATACCTGTTATGGTTTAGATGTGAGGTGTTCCCCAAAAGCTCATGTGCAAGACAATGAAAGAAGCTTTGGAGGAGAAATGATTGGGTTCTAGCCTTAACTTAGTCAGTGAATTAATCCCTAATGGGATTAATTGAGTGGAGATTGGAGGCAGGTGGGGTGTGGCCGGTGGAATCAGTCCACTGGGGGCGTGGTATGGGGTATATATTTTGTATCTGGAGAATGAAGTCTCTCACTCTCTCTGCTTACTGATCATCAAGTGAGCTTCTTCCCTCTGCCACAATCTTCTGCCATGATGTTCTGCTTTACCTCGAGCCCTGAGGAAATGGAGCCATCTATGGACTAAGACCTCTGAAACTGTGAGCCCTCAAATAAACATTTTCTCCTCTACAATTGTTCTGGCCAGGTCCTTTAGTCACCGCAGTGAAAAAGCTAACAAAACAATACCACATTATTTCTGACTTGCTTTATTGCAAAGATTTACTCAACAGTCCCCTTACAGTGAGATCTCAAAAGAGTGACTAGAGAGTCTTTTTAAATGCTAATCAATTGTTTCTACTCTGGAATACTGAAGCCAGAGGATCCCAAGTTCAAAGCCAGCCTTAATCACATAGCAAGACTCCATCTCAAAATAATAAAAAGAATATTTTGTCTGCCATAATATCCATTGTTAGACCCACATGTCAATTACTTCACTTATAATAAAAGCCAATGTCCTTACCTGGCCACTTGGATTGCATTTGCTACTATGTTGCCTCACTCTACCTCACTGCTCTCTTTCTTACTTCCTTGCTATTAATCAGATTTTTACGTGGCCTGTTGCCTCTGTCTGCTACATCCTTCAGCCAAATATGTTTATGGCCAGCTCCATTTTCTCTTCAAATCTGCTTAAATATCATCTTGTCAATTAGACCTACTTTTTTTTTTTTAGTGCATTGCAGTTATACATAATAGTGGGATTCATTTGGAGACCTACTCTTTTTTTTTTAACATTTCTTTTTTAGTTGTAGGTTGACACAAAACCTTTATTTTATTTATTTATTTTTAATGTGGTGCTGAGGATTGAACTCAGAGCCTCATGCATGCTAGGCAAGCACTCTACCTCTGAGCCACAATCCCAGCCCCTTAAGACCTACTCTTAATAGTCTATTTAAAAACACAAACATCCTGCCCTTTGTAGGACTATTGTTTACCATGTTACCATGCACCTTCAATTATTCCATATAACTTGCTTATTTATTATGACATTGCCTATTATTTGTTTACTAAATTGGAACATGTGTTCCCCAGGGGCAGAAGTCTTTGTTTTGTTTATCAGTATATCATTGTCTAGAATGGTGCCTGGCCATAGTAGATATTAAATATATGAATTTAATGAATTTTTAAAAATTGTCAGCACAACACACTCAAGTGAGAGTTGAAAGAAATGATCTGGTAAACAGTATGAATTCCATTGAGGAGAAAAAGGTTTCCACTGTTAAAAACTCCTGCTATACATCATAGCATATATTGCATATTTCATTTAAAACATATCTTTAATATTATATTTTATCTTACTTAGTAACCTATTCAATAAATACTTATATTGTTGAATTTCTACAAAATAATAGAGATATTAAGGACTGAAATAGGGGCAGAGTAAAGTCTTTTTCACCCAAGGTTTTATTCTTCAGAAAAAAAAAAAAGAAAGAAAACATTAGAAAAAGTCATGTTGTATGTCCCTAAAAAGAAGATTCACTACAAGGCAAGAGCACATGCAGTCAAAATCCACAATCTTCTCAGGTCCTTCAGAAAACTGAAGTCACAGGACAACCCCAACCCCCCAAACTAGACAGTAGATGAACACAGAGAGTCTCACCCAACTGGGAGCAGAAACCACTGCTGGAGCCCAGCAACTAGTAACACATAAAGGATAACCAACTAACTGCTAGAAGTTAAGTGTATATTTGCTTGAGAGATCAAAAGCAGTGTGAGCCATGCTTAGGAAGACCTCCCACACTTCCCTGAGTCTTACTTCCAGGAGACCCACCAAGTTCTCAGGGTGAAGACTGAAGAAAAATCCCCTCCCCTGTGCTTTTGGTAGGGTGAGGGGAAATACAACCATTCTAAAACACCCAAAGCACTCTGATCTCCTTTAAAAGAAAAAAGAAAAAAAAAAAAAAACTTTCCTCAAAAAATACTACTTTACCACAGCCTAACCAGCTTATAGAATTTTACCAGAACCTAACCAACATGGGAGAAAGGAATCAGCCAACCTCAGCTACCTCCAACCTCTGTATGGAGAAAGAAATACCTAACTTCAGCCTCCTCTATACTCCTACAAGGGGAGGGGAAAACCCAACTCCAGCCCCTGCTAGCCACTTTGCCCCTGGTAATGGAGAGAAAAAATACTAAGAATAACTTATAAAGGTCACATTCTAGATGTGCAGGCTCATTAAATCACTGGAACCTAATTATAAGATTATAGGATGCTCCTCCCAAAATTGATGGCCACATCAACAGGGTTTCTGTGTATTAACAGTGTATTTCCAATTGAAAGAATGACATTCAAGAGCCTATTTAAGAAGGAGTGTTTAAGGAAATACAACAAGGGAGATTCAAAACAAGACACTAAGAAATTTTAGTCTCTCACACCTATAGCTATAGTAAATTGTAAAAAGAGCCTAACTCCTAGTCAGATAATCATAA